CGGCGGGCTGCGGCGGGGGTGGCGTGGGCCGCGGTCCCTGCAACTTGTTTACGGGCACCCGGTGTGGCCGGGGTCGGCGGGATCCGGGTCCAGCCTGGCGCCGCGTGCGAGCGGCGTTGCGGGATCATGGCTGTATTTCCCTTTTGCACACTCGCGTCCTGGGCCCTGCGGGGCCGGCCTCGCGGTGTGGCGGCGAGCGGGGGAAGTAGAGGCCGGCGGGGGTGGGGATCGTGAAGCGCAGGACCGGGCATCCGCCGCGCGCCCCGCCGCCCGGCCGGGGGGAGGAGGCAAAGTTGAGCGCGGCGGGGCGAGGGGCACTGGCGGCCGCGCGGGGACTGGAGGGAAAACTTTAATCACCTGAGCGAGGAGACCCAAAACCAAAATAAAGGGGGGGATACGATCTGAATCCCGAGAGCCGATCCCCGCGCGGCCCACGGCGCGACCGTGAGAGAAAGTTGGACCGTGTGGCGGCTTCCTCCCCGCGGGGTTCGCGGGGTCTGTGTGTCCGTCGGTCTGCGCTCTCAGACGGCTGGGGTGGGGGGACCCGGCCTCCTGCCCCACCCTTCCACGGGGACACGGAGGTAAACGTCGCTTCGGTTTCCCTTCTCGGTCCCCCTGCTGCCACCACCCCGCTTCCTTTTCCTCCCCCCCCCCCGCCGGTTTTTTTTTTTTTTTTTTTCTTTTTTTTTTCTTTCTAGGGGGACCCGAAAAACAAAAAAAACGGAGTCTCTTTCCTTATGCAACTTCCTCGGGTTTGCAGGGCCCTCCTCCCTGCCTCCTGCATCCCTTGGCCCGCTCCTTGGCCACCTCGGAGCCACCGCCAGAAACATGCATTCGAGATCATCCAAAGTGCCCAGAAACTAAAGTAGATTTTTAAAAAATTGTTCTAAGTTCAAGGAAGCTGAGATGAGAAATAGGAATCTGGGGGTGATGGGGGGGTGCGTCTGCTGGGATGAGTGCGTCGAATTTTGATTTCATTTCCCTAGCTCGTCGTTGGTGATATCCTTGTGGGTGTAGGGAGCCCAAGAGTCTCCGTAGTGGCTACCTCGGTCGCGTAGATTTTTGCGCAAGTTTTTAGAAAAACACTGACTCGAGTAGCGAGCATTTCTCCGGAAAGTTTCAAGTGCAGCAAAATAGCGAGCGTGCAAAACTGGCCAAGGGGGGACCTCTAGTGGTTAAACGCATCTTAAGTTCGAGAGGCCGAGAGCAAAGTTGGCCTTTACTTGTAGCTGCGCAGTCCGTTTAGACGTGGAAGTGATCAGAGGACCTGAGCTAGCTGCCAGATGTGTGAAAGGATGCTGATCAGAAAGAGAAAGTTTATTAGATTGGAGAACAAGGAATTCTGAACTTTGAGGCCCTGTGATCGCCATTCTTCCTAGCTTACATTATAATAAAAACCCTGGTTTTATGCTGAGATTGAGATTGGCACTCCTTAAATAAGAAATGATTGTTTTTGTATTTACCATCATTGATAGCTTTCACTAGCTTTCTCTCAGGAGTCACAGAAGATAAATTTAGTTTTGAATGCTAGTAAAAATAAAAAATGAAATATTTGCTTAAAACAGAAAAAATGGAAAACTTTGAAATTTGCCTTTTTATGAGCTGGCTGTTTTCTCTGATAAATATAATTTCATGGTAATTTACCATTTGCTAGCTATATATGCTCATAAAATAGTGTCATTTGATTGTAAGTGCATAATTTTGATTCACTGGATAAAATTTCAAGATACTTTGTATAGTCTATGGCTTAAAATACTTATATGGGTAAAAATAATTGGTTTTCTTAATTATTCTTTGGTCGTGGTGGCTCACGCCTGTAGTCCCAGCACTTGGGAGGCAGAGGCAGGCGGATCTCTGTGAGTTTAAGGCCTGCCTGGTCTACACAGTGAGTTCCAGGCCAGCTGGGGCTACAGGGAGACCCCGTCTCAAGAAGACAAAAAGAAAAAAAAAAAAAGGTATCTTCCATTTTAAAGATAAATACCAGAGAAATTAAGGTTGTGGCCAATGATCCTTGTAACTGCCACCTGCCTGTTGTGCAGTGAGATTTTATTTCATTTTTTTACAGTTAGGGCTCACCTATGTAGCTCAGGCTGGTCAGGAACTCACATCTTTGTGCCTCAGTTTTCCTAGTGCTTGGATAATAGTACTTTTATCTATAATGAAAAATTTATTGGGTAAATTTAGAATATGGAAATGTTAGGAATGATTAAAATTAATGTCACCCTATCTGGAGCTGGTTAGTTTTATTTTAATACAGTGAGGTGGTATGGAGTTATGCATGTTTTGTTTGAAATGTACGCATAATTAATTGCATATTATGGATGTAAAGGCTTTATGAGAGTGCTTTGATTGTTCCTTTCATCTTTTAAAATCATTGCTAGATCCTTGAGAGAAGTCTTGGGGGTACACAACAGTTGTGACGGCCACCAGACAGTTCCATCTTTCGTCACTGCCACGAGGTAAGATTGGCTTGTTGATACAAATTGCTTTGTATAGTTGAAATGCTGAACACTGCATTTGGAAATCAAGGAGAGTGTGAGACAGGCTTAGTAGAAAAAGCCCATGTTTATGAGGGCATCTAAGAATGTGTGAACATATTGACAGTGTGATTGAGGGGTGGATGAAACAGACAAATGAGATTGTCTTGGATAATCTTTAGACTGACTTATTGGATGATGATCATGTATGTATGTATATGTGTGGTGTCTGTATATGCTGGTGTGGTATATGTGGAGGCCAGGGGTCAGCTTCAGGTATTGGGCATCTTCCTGTATTGCTCTCCACTGGGTCTCTCACTGCACCTGGCTCTCTGATTGACTAGACCGGCTGGACAGTGAACTACAGGAATCCCCCTGTGTCAGCCCTCCCCCAAGCTCATGTTACAGGTCAGTGTGCACCTGCCTGCCTTTTATGTTTGTTCAGGGGATCTGAACTGAGGGCCTCTTGCTTTTCTGACTTCACTTTACTGACTGAGCCATCGCCCCAGCCCCTATGTTACTAGATTCTTAATTAGCATTTCATACCTTTTTCCTACAAAAAGAAAATTTTTTTTTCCTTTGGAATTAATAAAATGGGAAAACCAGAACAAAGCAGTTGTGACTTAATTTATCTTGTATAGATATATGATGGTAAGGAAGAGCCAGGAACTTTAAATGTCTTTGGGGGTCTGTGGTAAAATTTTGTAGCTAAAATGATATGAGAATTGGGGGAGGGGGAGTATTAATACTTAAGCGTCTCCTGTGGCTTAAATCCAGGAGGGCCTAACTGGTGCCAGAGATTATGTTGTGGGGATCTAGTGAGATTCTGCTTCATTAGCATAGACTTGTGGCTCTTTGAATACTTCTCTGTAGATCTGTTGTCCAGTAAGATCTTTTTGATCATTTTGGAGGGTGCTGGCTTCCCTCCAGCAAATAAGCCAGGACCTCCTTTTAGCACTACATCATTCTCAGTCATAGGGGCAGCCATCGCTGAGGTAGAACATCTAAGTACCTTTAAGCCACTTAGTGTTTTCTGCTATTTACATCATTTCCCCCTTTTAATCAATCCCTTCTCCTTTTCTACTTGCTTTCCTGCCTTCTCTGTCTTGAGCGCTACAGGGTTTGCTACTTCTTGTTTGACAGAAACAAAAGAAAATGAAAATGAGCTTTCCTTTTAAAAATTATGATGATGATGATGATGGGGGGCCATGCACGTGTGGAGGTCAGAGGACAGCAACTTTGGAACTGGTTTATTTTCTTTCACCTTTATGTGGGTTCTGGGATTGAACTCTGGTCTCCAGGCCTGAGCAACAGGTGCTTTTACCCACTGTGCCATCTCACTGGCCCAAGCTTCCTTTTATGTGCAGGACTAATAGTTCTGTTAGGGTCAGATGTGATTCACAAGTGAAACTGAACAATGACCAGTATGAAGGTGATTGCTACAGTACCTGTTGTCATTTTCTGCTGTGGATTGTCTTACATGGTGTACTTAGCGGAATTCAGAGATGGAGTTCTTGTCAATGTGTGGGCGATGCTGTAGAGACAGTAGTCAAAAACAGCTCTAAGGCTAGGCAGACAGAAGCAGAGTTTTAGAGAGCAGCAGGTGTTTTCCAGGATGGTGTTTAGTGTTTGGATATGCTGACTTGAAGACAGTGCTTGTTTATCTTATTTTGAGGAGCCACTGTGGCAGTGGATGGCATACTAGAAAGGGAATCAGAAGATTGAGTTTAGCCATCTAATATGTCATCTTGTAAGAGTCACTAAACCACTTTTAACCTGGATTTCTCCATCTGGAAAATGGGAATAGCAATGAGAGAGAGAGAGAGAGAGAGAAAGAGAGAGAGAGAGAGATTTGAGAACTGTTAAGAGGGAGTCAAGTGTGTGGTGATCATCCTACTATCTTATCTTAACCAGGCTTTGAGAAGAACAGGAGTTAGGTTGTTGAGGGCAGAACATGGTGATCTGCTTCCTGGCTAGAACTGTCAGATTGCTTTCTAGTGTATGTAGTATATAAATTTGTCAAAAAGTTTCTAGCACTCTCTTCTTTTTGTGAGAAAAAAAGCAATTTATCTTTGACAGTATTGGTGCCTTAAAGAGGGACAATGTTCTAACATGGCACTGTTTACAAAGCCTGAAATTTGTCCCAAATTAATCGTTTAATGAGTAGAAGGAGTAAATGAAAGAAATGTTTTAAAATAATGCCTAATTGTGGAAATGGTAGGGTGAGGGAAGTATGGGCTGGTGTGAGGGGAATTCATGCACTGTAATTAACATCTTGGTGGTGTGAGTCCACTGGGAGCAGAGGGTGAGAAAAGAGGTAACTGGGGTAGTAGTGATTTGAAGTCACCAGGGAGGGCAGAACTGATTTCTGAGAATGATTGGATTTTAGGAAAGGTCTAAATAGGACTTTGCTACCTGTTGTTTAGACAGCTTTGTTGCTGTATTTCTGATTTTAACTAATTCTTTAAAATCTAGATAAATGGGCTGGGTGTGGTACACGCCTCTAATCCCAGCACTCGGGAGGCAGAAGCCAGCCTAGTCTACATAGTGAGTTCCAGGACAGCTGGGGCTACAGGGAGATCCTGTCTCAAAAAGACAAAAAAAAAAAAAAAAAAAAAAAAACCTAGATAAATAATCCCAAGTACTATTTGTTATTATTTTCATCTTGATGATACTGAACCTGACAAAAGTAAACCCTGACATGTTCTAGTTTTCTTTCATCTCCTTTTAATAAATTATCCAATTAGTATCCTAAGGATTCAGCGTTTCAGTAGTGGAAGAAAGAAGACATGCATGTCTGTTTAATTAGTCCTTGAGTAACTGAGAGTTGGTTCTCAAGTAAGTTCTACTGCCTGGTTTAGTATTTTAAAGGATTATATACTATCACTGTTTATGGACATAGATTAAGGTGAAATTTATAAGAGAAATAACTTTAGTATGCGACAGTGGAACCCTAGGGGTGCCAAGCATGGGCAGTCTACTGAGTGTTTCCTCTAGTGGTATTTTGAGTTTCTTAAGTAGTATTTATCGAATGTTAACAGTGTTGAAACCTAGGTTTTTGCCCCTGTGGAGTTCCCTGGATCTTTACCCTAGGGGGAAGAGACTACTGTGAGCATTGCTCATCATACTGTAACAGTTGCACATTGTGCCAAGAGAAAGGAATAAGGACTCTAGATGTAGAAGCCAGTGAGCCAGGGAACCATGGACTTGGGGGCTAGCTGATGGGGAATAATGTTTACAAAGGGCACAATATAGTGCATTCTATCTTAATGATTAGCCTCCAGAAATGAATAAGCAGCTTTCCAGCCTGGGTTAAGGGTTGCTGTAATTCCACTTGTAGCAGGAGTGATAGATTTGGGTGTTGTCTTTCACCAGTGTGTTCACAAAGTGACTTGATGATCTGTTCTACCTCTGTTTTTACTTGCTACTATTAAGAGACTCATGCCTCTCTAGGATTTGGGGTTATTATATAGGTGAAGATACTGTAGATAGAACTGCCTGTATGTTCATATGTGGACAGATTTATATATGATGTCTTCAAATCCAAGGGATCTGCAAAAGATGTATTTTGTCAAGGCTCCATCATCCAATGGGGGGAGTCTCAGGGGTTCTCTTTTGCTATGTTAAATTATCACTGATACATGTGGATGAGTCAGTAGTGGGAGATGATGAACTAGCATGTGGTGATTATGGCTGTTAGCAGCAGGTGGAACAAAGGAAGCACCAGGAGCCCTTGGCGTAGACCTAAATGTGATTTATGAGGTCTAGGAAGTCCCCACTTAGGAGACAGGTGATTTGGAGGAAAGCAGAGGACATCTGAAAGAACTTGACTGAAGGTGGGTGAGAGAATTTTTCCTGATGAGTGAAAGACTCTTCCTCAGAAGTGGATTTGGGGACTGATGAGATGAATTAGCTGGTAGAGGTGCTTGGTGCCCAGCCTGGTGACTTGAGTTCTGTCCCTGGGCCCCCTACTTGGTGGAGGATGATGGAAGAGGAGAACTGACCCCCACAGGTTGCCCTTTGACTTCCACAGGAGTGCCATGGTATGCTTGCTTGTGGACATTCACATACGTGCTCACACATACAAATACACACACTCATGTACACAAAGAAATAAAAGTTATTAACTGAACAAAGGAGTGGATTTATAAGGACTCAGATGGGGATTTATAAGGATTGCATGCACATTGTATATAATACTATAAAATACCTTCTGTGTTATCCTTTTTCATATATACTATAAATGTATTGTGTTCAGTCAACTATTTATGAAACACTTGTTTCTTATAAATCAGTGTTGGGGAGTTATCAACATTTAGTGTTGAATCAATGAATGTGTTATGTCTAAAATGGCTCAGTGGTTAAGAACACTGAATGTTCTTGTAGAAGACCCAGGTTCGAATCCCAGCACCCATATGGCTGCTAACAACTGTCCATAACTCCAGTTCCAGGGGATCGGACAGCCTCTTCTGTCCTCTGTAGGCATTGCACGACACGGGTGCATTTACCTACATGCAGGCAATACATGCATACACGTAAAAATATAAAAAAGAAAAAGAAACAGAACATCAATCCTTAGTCTCTGTGTGTTCATAATCTAGAGAGATAAGATGACTCATACAGTGGTTATTTACAAAAACAAATCTATGGTTAAGTGTGAGTGAATTGTAGAGGTAAAGCCACAGGTGCATGATACACCTGTGGATTTGGCATTAAACATGCTTTTGTGCTAGAGATGGGGCAAAGGCAATGCTCTCTGAAAAATGGAGTTAGTAGTAGTTAGTTGCATGACTATCCTCTCTACTATGTTCATTAGCATGGTATTATTATTTCTACTTTTGAGACAGTATCTCACTATTAGCCCAAGTCAGGTTCAAACTTGTATATAGCTCAGACTGGCCTTGAACTTACGGTACTCCTGCTTCAGCCTCCGGAGTACTGGGATTGCAGACGTGTGCTTCCACTCCCGTCTATTATTATTA